TGAAGAAAATACAGAAAAAGAAACAATTTCTTATTCGGCGTATAAAATTTGTAAAATCTTGGTTGTATCTTGGTTGTGTTCACGCATGTGTACTCTGTTGATAGCACGCTGGGTTTTACGATTAGGATCATTTTGTCGTACGTGGCGTATAGTTCAATAAAGCAAGAGAGACGTGAGGTCGTTGGTCACACCTGAAGGTAAATGGTGATGGAAGATCCGTTGTTTGTTGCTGGGGACACCTTCCACTATTAATTCGTGCAGTTGGCGAAGAAATAATAACATTCGTGCTTTGCAATTACGTACCTGTTTTTCATTTTATATAATGAGTTCAAAAGTGTAAAAGACAAACTAAAACTGATTTTGAACGTTGCGTGGCGAATTCTCATAGAGCGGTTGCGCAGTTGCTTAGAGCCTCCGCACACGGCGTATTTTATACGCGCCGTAATCGCACGTAATCTGCGCGTATACACGTGTCATCTGCGCGTATACGCGCGGCAGATGCGCTGTAGTGAATCGATTCAAAAGCGCGCAAACATCGCGCTGCAAGCAAGAAGTTTATATAGAATTTCATGTAGTTTTCTTATACATAATATCATGTGACGGGACGAACAAGTCGTGTGCCTGATGGTAAGCTACACGCCTGTCCATAACAGTTGCAGTGCCACTCAGAGCTTTAAATCGCAGAGATCTGAGTGGGAACTGCCTTTGCACCCGTCACCTTGTGACATAAGTTGACAAGTCCCATGTGCCAATTTCACCAGCACTCGTACCCTTCAAAACCGGAACACAGTAATGCTGACATTACTGCTTGGCGGCAGAAATAGGTAAGGTGGCAGTACTTCCCTGGAAGAACTCCTTCACAAGGAGCTTCATTTAAAAAATTTACTGAAATTAACAAACAGAACTAAAATTAAAACTATCTCTGATCAAAATGCGCAACATGTACGCATAAAATATGCCAAGTGCATAGTTTCTCACTTAACACAGAGAGCCCTTATTGCTGAAGCGTGCTCATTTGTAAAGCATTGACCATCGATTCCCTGTTTTATTAAGGCAACTTTCCCAACTATATTTAGATCATATTAGATGACGGTGATTATTCCGTGACGTCAGCCAATTTGAACTGTCAAACTGACGTGACGTGATAATCATGGATTATCTCCATGTAAACACCACGTAGTGCTGATGCGACATACATAAAATACATGATAAATAGTCAATTTGGTGTATTGTTCCGAGTACCTAAACAAATAATGGTAAATAAATTTATGTTCAATGGTTCTGAAAACAGTATTTTGTATACATTACCGTGATCGTAGGAAAACAATTTCACGGTTCGTTATCTGTTGATATGTGTTTGAAATATCGTCATTTCCACAGCACCTGCGATTAGATCACGCATATCATGCAAATATTGATTGAAAATAAAATTAACAGGAATAGTGTGGCGAATGTATGTAATACTAGTTTCTTAAAAACACAGTATACAAACTAGTATGTATACTATTGGTACGTGTATATAAAAGGTGCCACTTAATTTGGGCCCTAATCTAAATGGTTCAGCGCACGCGTCCACAAAGAAAACATTAGAGACCCTTCAGATAATGGATCACTTAAACTGAGAGGTTGCAAAAAAGCGAGTTGACGTAGTTCAAGCCTGTTACATAACTTACTTATCTACGTATAATCTTAATGGGCAATTTAAAGTTGAATCACTGAGGCAAGGTTATAAAGATTGATTCGAAAAATATGAGTTTGGTGACTATCTATCATTAGGAATCGTAAATGGGCATATAATAAACTGAAAATACGTATACTCGTATTAAGAAAGTTTTCATTTTTATATGCTATGAAATAGTTGCGAAAAAAACTATATCTAGACAGTCAATGTATTTGAATTTTTAAATGACATGTATTTAAATGATCCTTTTAAATTTGCAGAAGCAGCAGGCACAAAAATCTTTTTTAATGATTGATTATTTTTCACTGAGACATAAAATAAATTAAATTAACTTTGATAGTTTTCTGTCGGGCCTCCAAACTAAGACAAATGAGCATTAAAAATAATGTTTAGATACTTGGTTTTCAGTATCAATAAATGTTGATTATATTTGTATACCAATATTAAATATAATAATTAATAAATATAATATAATTTGATCTGAAAACATGTTCGGAAACACAAGCAAATTGGCTTCTGACACTAGCCGGGCGTTGCTACGACACGCTAGCTCCGCTCGCTCGGCTCGTGCTGCTTTTGAATATACTAACTTAACGTAACCTTTTTTTTGGCGGGGGGAATCTTTATAGATACCCCTGAGCCCAGGGAGACTCAGACTATATATATATATATATATACCTTTGAGTATCAAAATTAATATTATCCCTTTTTAAATTACTTGAAGTAATGTTAACTATAGAGAATATTATAATAATAATAATAATAACAACGCACACACTCAACATAGCCCCGCACTAGGGAAACCCTGTATCGCGGGTGCCATGGACACACACATAGACAACCACAAATTACACCCAAACTCACGAGAGAAATAAATGTAGGTCATACAAATATTTCTCCGGGCCCGGGAATCGAACCTGGGACCTCTGCGTGGCAGTCCGGCGTGGTAACCGTTCGGCCACGGAGGCAGTTACGTTATTATTATTACGTTATTATTATTATGTTTTACTACCATTATACTCATATATTTTTGTGACATTACTTCACTAATTTTTATAATTATTAATACAAAGATCGAACACAAAGAGAAATTTCTTCGATCTGACTGGAATCGAATTTGAGTCTGTTTTGCCAATCTAGGGCAACCACTCTACCAATTGAGTTACAGATGAGTCAGCAGACCTTACGAATTCATCTAGGTGCGTTTGTTATAGATCTGTGTCGTTGGTTTTAACCACTTATTTGATGTAGCGCCATCGCTACACCGGTGAGAAATTTATCAAAGTTTTTTTTCACTCAAGCAGGTACCTTTATTTGACTAAATTAAAATTTTTATGGCTTACATTTATTTCTCTCGTGTGTTTGGATGCCACTTGTAGTTCTCTATGTGTGTGTTCGTGGCACCCGTGACACAGGGATCCCCTAGTGCGGGGCTATGAGTGTGTATGCGTTATTAAAATAAATATGCTGTAATAGTGACGCTACGATACGTTTTAGGTTTTTCATCGGTACTGTTTTTCGATTGATCCAAACTGGTCTCAATCGGAGGGCTGAATTAAACTCCTGTGACTGCGCCTTTAATTGAAGTATTTTAATATACAATCACATAAAAAACGTTACTTTCATAATAGCTTAATTTTCACATGCTCACCACTACGTAATATTTATAAATTACAAACTCAGAAATATCTACAGTAATCGGCCCGAGCGTAACCGTCTAAGGGACAAGTTAAAAAGAGAAATTTTTTATAGAACATGCAGCTCCTGTAAAAGCTTTTAAAAACTAAAAATAAAAAAAGAAGGCGTTAAATGTAAGCGCGTTTTGCCACAGTCTATGAAAGTTTAATGGGAACAGTAAAACATTTTTGTTATAGGATTTATGTAAATATCATCACGTACATAAATATGATGTTATTTTTACATTAAATAAACTTAAAGAAACATGAAGTAATTCTTTTTTTAAAATACGAAGAACATGAATGATGTGCTACAAAGCCCAAGAGCAAAACGGTTTTGACGCTTTAGGACTTTGACTTTATTAAGACACGAGCCTTTGGCGTCAAATTTAAAAAAATAATAGGATATTCCAATCAATGCCCACCCTTACAGCTTTGCAGAAGTCAATTAAAGCAATTAAAACTATGAATAATTTATGTACGATAATTCAAAACGCGGCTTTGGATAATTTTTTCTTCCTTTATATCTTTTACTATTTCATTTTCTATGTTAGGTACGTTTAGTGTATTATTTCCTTTATTGAACAATACGTAAATATTTGTTATTTAAATATATTTTTTTCATTACCTGTACTTTGCGATAAAGTATAGTAATAAATTACTTACACTAAACATTTTTTATATATTTGTGAAATAGCATTAAACTAGGATTGCTGGAAAAGCAAACATTATCTAGCTTGTTAAGGGTAGCGTACACGCGGCACTTTAAAAAAGCGGCACTTAATTTTTCCCTCATTAATGACCGACAACTGTTAACAGCATTTAGCTGGTCAAAGGTGAAAGAAATTTAGTTAACGGCGTTATTTCATTTTTATGCCTTGCTCTATTGTATCCCAATAGATCAGTCTCGGTGGTTTTTAGACATTTTCGAGATTGAGTTTTTCCTGTCTCGGAAATATCGATCATTATGTATTTTTTTATTCTGATTACACGAACATGATAACACGCTAGAGTGGAGCTTAATATAATATGTGACGATTGAAGAATGATAGTAATAAAATTTATATTATAAAAACTATATTAAACGCTGATTGTTTTTTTACGTATTCACTATAAAAATGAAAAAATAAATGACTTGCATGAAAATAATTTTATAATTTGAGTTAATTAAGGATTTAATTAAAATATCGTAGTTTGACCCCCCAAAAAACCAAGCCTACAAGTATAGAAATCTACTTTTGAAGTCACAGAAATGTCTGTGTTTGAAGTAGTCTCAAAACTCTCGTTTTTCCCGGAATTTTCGAGACCGAACCGACCCTCGATATTTTTCCAGAAACGTGGAAATGCAGCGAGATGAAAGCTCTAATGTAAGACGCAAGCAAAGCACAACTCGGCCCTTTATATTCTACTGTTGAATAAATGGGATATAACAAAAAGGTGCCACTATATTTCAGCTAGTATGGTATTTATGATTACGAACAACACCTGCGAAAAATAAATCCGCACACGTGTAAGAAAATTTGTGTTTCGCGACTTTAGTAATGATTTTTTTAGGTTCTTTTTTTGCATAAGTACAATCATCAAGTGAAATATGGCGAGGCCTTTTTGCTAATTACCTTGCAAACATCATTCCAAACAAGGACAAACTGCCGTATTTACCGCTGCGGACGGCGGTAGTTGCAGTAAACCGCCTATATCCAATAGAGCTGATTGGAAGAAAGCAGAGAATGGTTGTCCTGGTTTCTTTGGACACCTAATTAGTAGTTAAAAATAAAAGAAACAACATAATAAGATTAAAATAGGGCGAAATACTATGGAGTGTCGAGGTTGTACCCCGAAGTTTTCAGCAGACCCAATAAGATGCCGAGATTCCTGGAGCAGCTAGGGTGACATGAATAGGACGCACTACACGCAAAATAAGCGCCTAGACGTCGAGTTGTGGATACCAAACGTTAACCGTTACACCAAAATTCATATCAATGTAAATTTTGCTTTGAATTGCCCACATAAAATAATTGTTAAAATTAGATTTAACGTGAATAGTGGTGCGAATTATGCAAGTAGCCGTTAAATGGCCCAGCTGCGGGTGGTGTTGGCAACAGAGTGACAGCGGAAAGCGACTACTACTCCATGTAGACTATCCCTTGGTTTATTTATTTATTAAACGACGAGGAGGATCTCAACTTCGACTGTTTTATTTTGTGAGTATGTTACGCAATTGCTCCAACATTTGTGAACTGATTTCGATGATTCTTTTTTGTTTGAAAGTGGGTACCTCAGTAGTGGTATTATTAAAATTTGGAGAAAATATTCCACCTGTAAGAGTAAATTAGGAGATGAATCCGATTTATTGGATTTCACGTACTTTCCATTAACCGATTTCAAGAAAACTTGGCACATAAATTGAAAATAAAATGTTACCATAACACTCCACCACGGTCATTAGAAGTGATAGTGTAAATGTCAGATAGACGAGAGGAATTCCTCAACAGTGCACAGCAAGTACCTTGTGTCTGGAATCATTGGTTTGTTTTGATGAGGACTTCCATATGTATTTTAGTTATCGGATAAGCAAACTTTTGAGGTCGGGTTATTTTTTACAAAAAAGGTATAATTATTTAATATGGCTCAAATACAATACGTTACATATTAAAAAAAAAACATTTAAGAGTACTATGCATGCTAAATGTACTATTACTATAGTACTAATGAAAAGTACGCAGGGCATTATACATGTCTGTCTAAAGGTAGCTGGACTATTTTAATTTAAATTTGCACTGAATAATCTGATTTCCCTCATCTGATTACTAGGCATCCGAGATATACGTTATATTTATCGAACCTTATCAATGCGTGATACAAATAATAGTAAAAGCAGTGAAATCAGGCAAAACAAAAACATTGAGTTGTTGATGATGATTATCATCGGTTGATGATGACTATATTTTTGGCCCCGTGAATTGGTGAAAATGAACTCGAGGCGTCTCGTTAACATGTGTTTAAGCTATTTTACCCTATGTTAGAAAACGTGGACCCGTTAATAATAAATTTTATCTTTATGAATATTCATGAATTCTTGCCGTAATGATGTCGTTATATTGTTGTATGACATTGTAATGAGAAAATGAAAATTGTGAAGTGTGGTTTGTACATTATTATTTGTGTCTTTATTAGAATGGTATAATCCAATTTATCTTATTAGTACGCGCGAACATGCGTGTGCGTGTGTTTGTGTCTGGTGAGCTTACGTGCCTGCGTGCGGTAGCGTATGTGAGCGTGTGTCTGTGTGCATGTTTGTATGTAGAATACACTTGCTATTTATACGCGTACGTGCTTTGTGTAAGTTCATTTATTAGCTGTGTTAGTCGATTGTGCACACGGAACTTTAGACACGCAGCGCGTGGACCACGTCGACATATTAATCAAAACAATGAACCACAGCTGTAAATATGAGTGTGCGATGCGTGGCGATCGATTGACTCTTTTTTGTTGGATTTTCTCTTGCCTAGGTTGGACAACATCATGGCCATCTTGATTTTAAAGGTTGTCGCTCCAAAGGGGAGGTGGTACAGCAAAAACACCGTTCCCTCAATTTAAAGAAGTTTAATAGTATAACTGAGAAGACGAAGATTATCTTAAGCTTAGATCAGATTCTTATGACACAGCACTCCATTCTTTTGGAAGAAATTTGAATGACCCACTTCAATGTGGATTTTGATTTCTGGAGCGTGGTCTCCACTGTATGAAAGTTCCCAAATAATTGAACTTATTGACCTTTTCCAGTAAGGTAAATGTATCAATCTTTGACACTGTCCCAAAGTATGACACTTCTGCATTTTTTGAAAAAATAAGAAAATAGATATTGATAGAACTACAAACCGTGTTAAATGGAGATACCAGTAATGGCATATATGAATTCCGTTTAGAAGCTTTCATCGATTCACTCAATATTTTTTCAATGTAGCGACTGTTTTTGCGAACGGATGATCCAAGTTGAAAGTGCGTTGGTGTTCTTACAAAAGTCGACTTTGAGTAGTTCGAGTGCATTTATTAGTCGGAATTTTACTAATGTCAACTATTGGTTACAGGTATTGTGCAATGAGAAAATCCCAACAAGGATGTTACATTATTCGGAAGATGATGTATTGAAGGCGACTGATGAAGTGTCTAAAGGGATTCCTATAGCTGCACAATGAAAATATTTTTAATGTTACTTCAAACTATATATGTTATTAATTATCTATAAGTGTATTAAAAGTGTTAGATAACTGTACAAACAATTTGTGTTATGTATTTATTGATGTATATCGTTTATATTTTATTTTAGACGCCTGTCAAACACACTGGAGCAAAGTTTCAACGTTTAGTAGTGGTTGACACGTATGTCAAGCACTCGTATAAATGAATATATTTTAAGCCTTTATTTCGAACATTTGGTAACGACGGAGAACGATGGTTTGGATGACTCTGTTAGTGGCAAGTTTCTAAGGATAATTTGAGTAGTGTGTGATATGGGTGTCGAATACTGTTTTAGTATGGGGACCCAATCCTTGACAGTCGTATGTTGAGGTGTCAAACACTAGGACGTATAACTAATGTCAACTATTGGTTACAGGTATTGTGCAATGAGAAAATCCCAACAAGGACATTGTTACATTATTTGGAAGATGATGTATTGAAGGCGACTGATGAAGTGTCTAAAGGGATTCCTATAGCTGCACAATGAAAATATTTTTAATGCTACTTCAAACTATATATGTTATGATCGTATGGCATTTAAATTTCATTTTTCTATAAGTATCTTGCAAAGATTTATTATTAATTTTAATAAAAACATCTCGAATGATTTTGTTTTTTGTTCTTTTATTAATTTATTGTTATAAAGTAATCAATCCAATCAAATAACTATGAAATCTTACCTACATACCGCCCTGTCACTCTGATCTTACTTTCCCATGGTCAACTATTGTGACATCAGAATTTTTGTCCGTCATACACTGGTATATTTTTAGAGGTTGCGGAAATATGGAATGTTTTAATTTAAAATTTTATAGTTTCTAGAAGATAAATGACAAACCGTTTAATATGTTAACATACCTAGGTAGTCAGTATGGCTTTAATTACTTTTTTGGCAAAATACGTGGTCTTCCGTTTAAAAGCGTCCCAGTGATTGCACCTTATTTTTGACCCAACAAATAGGTTTAAATTATCTCGTGGCTTCTTCAAAATCAACAACTTGTTTAAATGATTACAATAAATTCACATATAAAGCAAAAAATTTCTCATCCATGTCTGCAGTAAAATTATTAAAATCCTTTAAAATTATTAAAATATTGAATAAGTACCTAATAAAAATACCATACCTTACGTGACAGCTCTCGAAAATGTTCCGTACGCAAATAATTTATCACAGTCGTGTCAACTAGGCTTTTACCAAAAAACACCTTTTCAAAAAAGTTGCTGGAATCAATTTACACGTCCTTGTACGAGTATGTGATTGATGGCTTCAAATGTGGTAACACATTTACATGCACGCGATATTTAGGTAGATGTTTTATAAATTAAAAAAAACACATAAAATCGATAGCAGTGGCAAAAAATCCGTAAAACGATTCTCCCCGGGTTGCATAAATAAATGTAGGCCCTAGCCAAATTCGCTGTGTATGTGAATGTCAACAAACAAAAATATATGATTTTTACGGTTTTCGCCTCAGACTGTTTTACAGTTAGTACAACTAAATATTTTTCCTCGAAATTCGATTAGGCCAGGGGTTCCCAAACTTATTTTGTCTACTGCCACTTTGAGAATAAATTATTTTTTTGGGCCCCCATTTTTTCACCTACTTAAAAATCACTATAACTTCAAATTAAATTATTGTGAGCTTTATTTAGCTCTTTAGCTCTTTTTAGTAAGCAGCGTTGTCACAGCACTAAAACCACGTTCACACAAATATGACGATGGTAATGCTATCAAGAATCGTTGAACGATTGACCACAATCCAGGGTACAATTGTGAGATCGGTTTTTGTAGCCAAAATTCTTGGTAGTCATTTTTGAACTTGATTTTTATTTCCTCGTTCGTTGTCAATTCTATAAGTTCTTCTTCCAGCTGAGGTGATATTGCTGTGTTGACATTTGAAAACGGATCCAACACCCAGCCTGGTATTTCTAAGTTCAAAATGTCCTGGTATCGTTCGGTGAAGTTAATGTGGAGGTTTTCCAAATGTTGGCAGTAGGCAAACTAGTCGTCGTTACTGTAGGATACTGATAAATTTGGAAAATTGTGAAACTCACGTCTGTCCATAATCTTTTTGTGTAGAAGCAGTTTTTCTGCGAAAGCAGCAACGTCAGTTTATGTTTTAATTAAATTCAGTTCATCGCCTTGCAGTTGGAGATTCATGTCGTTAAATAATTTATACAGGTCTGTCATGTAAGCTATATCATTATTTGATGTAATGAGCTTGTTGCACATTTCTGTATCTTTAATTTTCAAGAACTCTATCACAGAGTCAAACAGGTTATAAAATCGAGTCAGACAATTGCCTCTTGATAGCCAACGAACTTCAGTATGAAACAACAAACGGTTGAAATCTTCGTCATTTGTAACACAAAGCTGATGAATCATTCGAAAAAGTGTTGCGGATTTTATTGACTGCTTTGATGACATATTGCAGTGATTGAAATAGTCGTTCACTTAAATTTCTAGCAACTAAATGTTGTCTATGAATAACGCAATGTACAGCAAGGATATCTGGAATGTTATTTTTTAAGTACGCTATGAAGCCCTTATGGCACCCTGTCATAGCCGGAGCGCCATCCGTAGCAACTGATATAATATTTTTCAAGGGAATCTCTTTCTCATCGCAAAACTTTTCCAATGTATTGAATATGGTTTCACCCGTTGTACCGGTCCCTAAATTTCTAGCAAATAATAGTTGTTCACAAATTTTCTCAGCTTTAATAAACCTCACGTAAGACAGCAACAATGCTTCATTAGTTGGTAAAGTGGACTCATTGAGCTGAATTGAGAATTGACTAGTCCTCAGATGATTGCACAATGATTCTTCAATGTTTTCAGCCATTTCATCAATTCGTCTTTGCACAGAATTATTACTCAAAGGAATTTTTCGGACAATACCTGCGGCCGGTTTATGAAGCACATTAGTTATTACTTCCTTTATTGCTGGCAAAATTAACTATTCTCCGATGTTGTGTGGTTTGCCTTTTTGAGCAATTAACAAAGAGATATTGTACGAGTCGAAGTCCGTCGTCATCTTGCTTAGCAACCGCCGAAAAGAGTTTTGCTACACTTGGCTGAGTATTATGCTTCTTTTCTAGGTTTTGAAAATATGCTACATTTTTGTCTTTCTTATCTAGATGCATTTTATTCAAATGATCTTGCAGTTTTGAAGGCTTCATTGCTTCATTCGAAAATGTTTTTAGACATAGAAGGTACAAAGGCGACGATGGGTTTGTAGGATTTTCAATGAATCCGAGTTTAATATATTCCGCACAGTATTGCCGTCTCTTCTTTTTACTTCCGACATTCTTTAGTTTTGAGAAATACGTAAGAAAGTGTTGAACTTAAGTACTGATTATCTATTACGCGCGAAACCGCAAATGAAAATAAAATAAATATTACGTTGTTTGTATAGGATTGCATAAGCAGCACGCACCGACAGGAATAAGACAAACATGCATTAACTCGTTTATCTCATTCAACTCTGAATCGTACTTAACAAGTAAGAACAAGTATTCTATGAACCAGCCGATTGATACAGGAATGCACAAATCGGGTTATTTAACAAAAACTTGTTAAAACATGATTGCCCGAGGTCTATTATCTACGAAAATGACCTATTTATGAATACTAATAACTATTAAAATGCTAAACTGTGTCTGTTGCCTTTTTATTTGTTTGTTTGTGTCTACTTTCATTTCGAAACGGAGCTACCGATTGACATGATATTTATTTTATTTATTCAATAAAACAGGACAAATATTTGAACTACACGAAGAGAAATATCGAACCGAGTTAGTTTAAGCAACCTCTTAATTAATATTAGCTCACAAGTTGTAGTCGAGAGTCGAGAGCTCAGTCGGAGTCTAAGTGTCGTATTCCAGAACTCTACTCAATACTCAAGTCAGGACTTGAGCATTGCAGTGAGCACTGAAAATCATACTCAAGGACTTGCCATTAGGGTCGTATTTCCAGTGCTTGAAATCATACTCAAGTCTGCTCAAATCCTGACTTGAGCATTGAGTAGAGTTCTGGAATACGAGCATAAGTGTCGTATTCTAGAACTCTACTCAATGCTCAAGTCAGGATTGCACTGGAAACACAAGCACTGGAAATACGACCCTAATGGAAGGGACTTGAGTATGATTTCGAGTGCTTTAAACCATACCCAAATCCTGACTTGAGCATTGAGTAGAGTTCTGGAATACGACCCTAAGAGTCTTCCTAGATGAAATTATAAATTTCCCCCTAAGCCTCTACACAACGCCCCTATTTTTTTCTCTTCCCTTTAGGCCTGCAGCGCCCACAAGTGGGCGTCCCGCCCACTTTGGGAAAGGCTGGATTAGGCTATTGGTACTACTAATCTTGAAGTCATATCTGTGATGAATTTTGTTTTATAAAAGTTTCAAATTAATAGTAAGTGATTTGAAACCAACATAAAAATTACAAATGTATAACTGTATCATCCCTAATGATTTTTTGATTTGAAGGGAGAGATTTCAAAAAAAACAATTGAGTTCGAGAAATAATGAAAGTTCAGAATCGGAAATTGGTGCTAAATTGGTAATAAATTAATACAATGACGAGAAACACACAACTTTTCACCTCACTAGCTCGGAAAGGCTTTTTCTCATTACATATCTGCGCGCAAAAGCAGTTTCTTCACGCTAGCGTGAAAAAGGTTTTTGAAATTCGAGCTTGACGATGGAAACTTTTTCTTTCCATGAAAAAAAAAAGACCCGTTCAACTACGCGATTTGTCGAGAAAGAAAGCCTTTCCGAGCTAGTGAGGTGAAAACGTTCTATTCCTATGCCATCATTGGTTGCCTGACAACGTTTTATTATAAAACATTCTATGTAGAATTTGGCTAGAGTATAGGTTTGAAATCCACTTGTCCCCACCAGGGGGGACAGCTGGTAGGAAATAGTGTATAGGCCATTATTCTAGCTGACAATCAACTCGTGCAACTTGATAATTATCAAATTCAAAGGTAATGGAAATGAAACTATTAGTACGGATCCAAATCGCGTATATTTAGTTTTTCAAATAAACTTCTGTTTCGGGTCTTTTTTCAGGTCCCATGCTCACAAATCATCAACCAGTTATATATAAAATTTCTGTAACTACAGTGAAAAATAGGGTGGTACTATACTAGATAGAACATAAATTCTTTGACATATACGATTAAATGGCTATATGCCGTATCGTTTTAAGTATGAGTTTATATGGCAAGGCAAACTGATTGAGATCGAGGTATGAGAGTTTTAGAGCAATCCGCGGGTACAAGCGAGAAAGAAAGTTGGTCTCGGTAAGGTGCTATATATATTTATAGCACTATATATATATAGCACTATAGCCTACTAAGGCCCTGGGTACATCAAAATCTATATAGTATGTAAGTGATTCGGATCCAGATGATATTATTCCTACGAATAAGAAAAATACTTGTGTACATTATACCGAAAATATTGCATTTAAATTTTGCACTATAATATTCGACATGACCATAGAGTAAAATCGAAAAATATGTTTCTCGTACAAAACTGAGGGCACACTTGCTTGGGCCTGAAGCATTTAATTATATTTAGTACATTTT